CAATGGAGAAGGGTTCCTTTCTCCCCACAACCCCGCCAACATTTGTTATTGTGTGATTTCTTGTTAGCAGTCATTCATTGTGGGGTGAGGTGGACTCTCAGTGTTGTTTTCATGTGCATCTCTTGAATGATCAGTGATGTGGAACATTTTTTTATATATTTACTTGCTGCTTTTATTTCTTTGTCTGATAAATGTCTGTTCATTTCGGATGCCCATTTTTGAATCGGGTCTTTATATTTGGGGGGGCTGATTGTTTTGAGTTCTTTATATATTGTTGATAATAGTCCTTTGTCTGAGGAAAGCTGGTAAAAATTTTTTCCCACATTGTAGGTTATCTCTTAGTTCTGTTGATGGTTTCTTTTGAAGTACAGAAGCTTTTTAATAAGATGAGATCCCAGTTGTTGATTCTTTCTGCTAGTTCCCGTGCTACTGAGGATTTGTTCATAAAGTCTTTTCCTATGCCAATGTCTTCCAGAGTTCTGCCTAACTTACCTTCCAGCAAGTTTAATGTTTCTGTTTTAATATTTAGATCTTTAATCCACTTGGATTTTAATTTAGTGCATGGTGAAAGATAAGGGTCCAGTTTTAATCTTTGGCAGGTTGAAATCCAGTTTTCCAACACCATTTATTAAAGAGGCTATCTTTCCTCCACTGAGGATAGTCAGTTCCTTTGTCAAAGATGAGGTAGCTGAGTGCATCTGGGTTTGTTTTTGTGTCTTTCAGTCTGTTTCACTGATCCTCAGGTCTGTTTCTTTTCGAGTACCATACTGTTTTTATCACAGTGGCTTTGTAGTATAGTTTCAAATTGGGAATTGTTATACCCACTGCCATGTGTCTGTTGCCTAGGATGGCTTTTGCTATTCTAGGTCTCTTCTGGTTTCAAATGAATTTTTGGATTCTTTTTTCTAGTTCTGTGAAATATAGTGTTGGAATTTTAATCGGCATTGCATTGAATCTGTATAGCAGTTTTGGTAGTATGGCCATTTTCACTATGTTGAATCTTCCTACCCAGGAGCAGGGGATATCTTTCCATTTTCTTATATCCTCTTCAATTTCTTTTTTCAGAGTGCTATAGTTTTCAGTGTAGAACTCTTTTGCTTCTTTTGTTAGATTGATTCCTAGATATTTCATTTTTTTGTATGCTATTGTAAAAGGAACTTTTTCCTTTATTTCTCTCTCAGTGAGTCTGTTATTTGTGTACAAGAAGGCTATTGATTTTTGGGTGTTGACCTTGTATCCAGCTACTCTACTGAGTCTGTCAATTAAGTCTAGAAGTCTTTGGGTGGAGTTTTTTTGGTCTTCAATGTAGAGTGTCATAGCATCAGCAAATAATGACAATTTAACTTCTTCCTTTCCTGTCTTTATTGCTTTAATTTCTTTCTCTTGTCTAATTGCTGTGTCTAATGTTTCCAGAGCTATATTGAAGAGGATTGGTGATAGTGGGCATCCTTGTCTTGTTCCTGATTTTAACATGAAAGTTTTCAGTTTTTGGCCATTTAATATGATGTTGGCTGTTGGTTTTTCATAGATAGCCTTTATTAAATTGAGATCTAGACCATCTATTCCAATTTTTTGCAGGGTTTGTATCATGAATGGGTGTTGAATTTTGTGAAATGCTTTTTCTGCATCTATCAAGATGATCATATGGTTTTTGTCCTTGTCTTTGTTAATATAGTGTATTACACTTATTGACTTGTGTATGTTGAACCATCTTTGCATCCCTGGAATAAATCCAACTTGGTCAGGATCTCACCAACATCTTTAAGAGTATCCTTGTATCACAGTGAAAGTCCACAAGGCCCAGGATATTTTAAATGATTTTTTTCTACTTTAGCTAAAAACGTATTGATCTTAGGAATCGTATTTTCTGATTCTTAAGTCATTTTCCATCTAATACTGAACACATGATTTAGTCATAAAGCTTAGCTCTTGTTCCAGGCTTTCCTATTTGGGTAATGTATAAGCTCATGTTCTTTCATTGGTAAAGTAGAGATGATAATATGTACAGATTAGAGCAGTTCTTCCCTAACAGTAGGCTGCATCAGAATCACTTGGAGGACCAGTGAAAGTACACATAGTGGCCATTCCCAAAACTTCTAAACCAGTAGGTCTGGGATCTGGGATCTGACAATGTATCTTTCCAGAGTCACTGATGTTGCTCTTCTAAGGATCATACTTTGAGAACCACTGGCTTATTAACTACTGCTCCTACTGAGAGTTTGTTTTACTGATGTCATTGGCATTCCTTTTTTTTTTTTTTTGGTGCTAGGAATTGAACCTGTGGTCTCATGCATGCTAAGCATATGTTCTACTACCAAACTCAGTCTCAGCCCTTATCCACAGCATTCTAGCCATAATTTATATTGTAAGTTGTTTATATAGTTGTTATATAGATATGTTATATCTGCATACATGGTATATATACATACAAGATGTATATGTGATTTATTTTTTATGGATGTAGATCTCTTTTTATGTCTTTTAAAATTCTTTCAGACTTTCCTCAAATCAAGTCTTTGCTAAGTTGTGCCCTTATATTTTAATCATGAATAATACTTCTAATGTGGAAGTTATTTAGGGTAGTTATTTTGGGTAAGAATAGTGTTTATAGTTTGAACTGATGATAATAAATGTAATCTAAAGACTTTTACTTGTCTTCAGAAATTAAGAAAATAATGTCTGAGATGTCCTCCCCAAATTCCACGATTCATCCTTTCAGGACTGCTGTTTTTCTGAGTCACAGAGACTCAGAAGTGAAGTATCATTGTCATGCAAAGAGGGAACAAATAAGATAGGAGGTGATTGGAATATGTGTAGCTATTTGTTCCTTTCCTTTTCTCTAGTTACCCCTAGAACATAAAGGTATCATGCAGTCTTCCTATGCTGGAAAAAAAAAATTTTTCATGTTTAGATCATCCAACAGAGAAGTGAGCCTTAGAAAGACACCACAAGAGATTTATGTTCGCCAAGAACCTTCCGTGTCCCTGCTACTATCCTGAGTCCTTGGGATACAATAGTGGCTAAGGCCCAGCTCTAGAGGAACTGATAATTTAGACTGGTAATTAGAAAGTTCTAGTAGTTGTGTGATTGAAATATGATGCCCTTTGCCTATGAATCAACATAGTTCAACACAGAATTTTCTTCTGTATTTTTTGGTATATCTTGATTTTTTTAAAAGAGAATCTCTTATCCTAATACGTAGGAGCAAAGTAATTTTTTAATTTACTGTATAATTCATCAACTGCCATGTCTTCTTAGTCTTTACCTTTTTCAGACTAACTGAATCTTTTCATATTTTTAAACAGGAAAATAGATAATAGCTGCTATTTTAAGATGTGCCAAATGGATTTTCAACAAACTGGATATGAAAAATATTAAGATTGATGTTTGCCTTTGGAGACAAGTTGTCCTTGCTGAGAGAAGATGAAACTGACTGTTGAGGTTCAATGGTTAGCCCCAGGGACCCAAAAGTTTCAGAATTAGATCAAGGACTTAAAACTTCTGATGTCTAGCCTCTTAGTTTGAAAGAGAATCAAAAGAGAACATTTTGACCCTTAGAGAGATCTGCATACTCTCTCTTGACAATGGGATCCACTTACTGGCTAATATACTTTATTTCTAAGCATGGAAATCATTTAGCTATTCGAGTTTTCTGATACTTCATTTTTATAATGCCATATGTTCTTTGTTTAACATCATGCTCTCTCATAAGGCTTTAGTTTAAAATAGTGCAGAAAGGGGATTTTGTGTCTTGTAGCTATCTAGATTAGCATCACTCTTTCATGTCTTGCAGCAATTTTTAGCATAATACATTTGTCAAAGCCGTCTCCTTTATTGCTTTTATTATTACTCTTCTTGTGACTTTTTTCAATTTTGTCTACCTCTTGTATAAACAGCCGAATAAAAGTCTGACAACAACAGAATTTGGACCAATTATTTGAATATGTTAGAACAATATAGTATTTATTTATTTTTAGGCTTTCTGTATCCAAAATAAGAATAACTTGGATTTTATTTTGCAGATCAAGGCTCTATTACAGATATTATCTTCCTATTAGTCTCAGGAAGGAGGAACATTTGTTACAAGTACAGTTTCATAGGTGGTGAAAAAATGATTTGTCCAGAGTTTCAGCATTAGTGCATAGAAGAAGTGAGACAAAGACTTCAAGTTTCTTGGTACTTACCCTAGTTTTCTTTTTCTTTCTCTTCTCTTCCATTCTCTTCTCTCCTCTTTTTCTTTCTTCTCTCTCCCTTCCTCCTTCCTTCCTTCCTTCCTCCCTCCCTCCCCCCTCCCTCCTTTCTTCCTTTCTCTTTTTTTCCAGTATGGGGATTCAACCCGGGCCCTTCCACACACAGATAAGCTCTCTACTACTAAGCTACACTCCAGACCTTATCTTAGTAATCTTTGTAGTAGTTTTTGTTGGTCTAATTATAAGAACTTGGCTTTATAGTAGACATTTAAAAGAGGGACTGGTTATAACATGGCTATAAATTGTATTTTATTCATTGTAGAAGCTTAATGTAGGACATCTTCCAACAATTTCAAATGGATTTTGGCTTTACTTTTAGATTTGTAAATGGCATGGAATTCTGTGCGGCAGCAGTGGGTTGATATCTCCGGGACTGGCCCACCATGGCAGATGTGTTAGATAACCTCCAAAGTTTTGTCTTCCTCACTTCTTTTTAGATTACTGAAATATTGATATGGAGTGATTATATTCCGAGGGGTCCAGCCCTGGGATAGGACGAGATGATGGGTAATAAAAGTTATTGACTTGGGCCACATTTTTCCCCATTCTGAAAATAACTGAATATTCCCCACATGATATGCCACGATGAAACTTCCCACATAACACCGTGGATTTAAAAGATGACCATTTCAAGGCCTCATGCCTGGTGGACAAGTGCTCTATTACTGAACTGTATCCCCGGCCCTATTCCCTAGCTTTTGTTTTTCCTTTTGCTAAGACTCTCATGAAAGAAATGTTCTCCATTCTCAGGAGAAGGACGGACATTGGGGACATTGAGCTGAACATGACACATTAAGAGAAAGCACAAGGCTGAATTTTGCAGCATCCTTAACATGTCTTAATGGTTTTGAGAAGAAGAAAATTTCAGAGGCAAACTACTGCTCTCCAACTATTCACCTTCTGTCCTGCGACTGGTGACTCTGGACTACACAAGCAGTACCTTATCACTATATTAAAATAATAAATCAAGGCTCTGGGAATCATCTTGTATTCTGGTTGTTTCAATCTAAGGATTATATTTAATCTCACTCCAGGCATTGCTCAAGATCTACCAATACAGTAGTAGAGAATGATATGTTTGCAGACAGTTTTGCTGTTGCTAAATTTAGAACAACAGTCTCCCTCAGTTTGTCCTATATGCTTTTTCACTCCAGTACTTATAAATTCTGTTTAGATTTCTAAAGTGAAAGTGAATAAGGAGATTTAAATTTTTTCTGTGGAAAAAAAAAAAGATAACAAGGAAAAACATTCTGGAAAATTCATTTCTTCAGAAATACTTTTCTAGTAGCTAGCTTTGTGTGTGTATATTAGGACATTTTATGGAATTCTGTGGGATAATTTTAAAACTCGGATATGCAGACTATCACATTGTGTGTTTTGCTTTGAAAACTCTGCCTCTTTTATGCTTAATGTCTCAAAAAAATTGCATAATTACCTTCTAAGCTATGGTACACATTGGTTTGCAAAGAAGGGGAGGCAGCTTTGCTTCAGTGCAATAACTTTCACAACTGAATCCCTTTTGGGGATGTGTGCTTCCTTAACCCCTAAAATGACTGTGCCCCAAAGCAGTGTGGAAAATCAGAGGGGATATTGCCCATATCCCCTAGGAGAAAAGATATTTAAGCCAGCATAAAATTGAAGACATCTGTAGAACTATGAGCAACTCAATGTCTTGTGCCTTTTGTCAAGTGAAACATCCCAGTCCTTAGCAAACTGTGGACTGGTTAAGTGGTGATACAAGGGAGAAAACCTGAGCTAGTCCAGATTAACTGAACATGGGAACTGATCAGGATTTTCCCCACATCTCACACAAAAATATCTAGTTGGGTTACCGTTTTAATGCATGTTATACATTAAGTTTCTCTTGTTAGAGATGTGATGACTGACATCTACAAGAAGTTTGAATGATTTAAATGTTATCAATAGGGAAAAACTAAATAGAATAATTAAATATTTTTGGGAAAAGATTTGTCTACTGCTGAAACAGTTAATTTTACATAAACTCAAAAGTTCTTTGTCTCCAGAAATTGAAGAATAAATTTGAGGACAAAAGGAGGAATTTAGGGGAGTGTTTATTGGAAACCATAAGAAAAAAAAAGCTCTTGTGTGTACCCAAGAGGGGAAAGAAGTCCAACATGCTTTCTTTGTCTTGGCCCTAAATAGATAGGCTGTGCATGGTGGTGTTAGTTGGGGTGTTCTAAGGAAATGAGTTCAAAAAAGTTCAAGGACAAACTCATTACCTCACATTTCTAATGTTTTCTTGAAGTCTTGTTGAAGACTAGGTCCAGAGGTAGGGAAGAATTGTCAACTAGCTTAGCATATTTTCTTCCTGGAGGGTAGGTCTTCATCTCCCTTTTTCTGGTAGCTTTTTATTATTTTTCTTGTGCTGACTTTTGCATCTCTAAGCTTATCCAGCAGCTTGAATTAGATCTAAACTCATGTGGGCTCTTTTCTTTTATCTGACTGCCTTATTCATAATAACTGAACTGAACTACCATACCATGAGAAAAGAAAAAACTAAATTGAGGTCTCTAACAAAATAATTCTGACTTATAATCAGGAGATTTTTCAGGTGTAATTCTGGCACTAATGTTCATGGGCAAATCATGTCAACTCTGAACAGTGTCCTGTTATTGAAAATAAGAGGGAAAGCGATGAACTTTATGGTCTAAAACTCTGCTTCTGCCCTGTCTATGCATAGATTAAAGTTTTATGGCCTCTATGTATACAGAGGCAGGATGATACTTTCATAACTATATCTGGCATCTGATCCTTTTTATTTATCAATTATGTTGATATCTAAGATATATAAAAGATATAAACAATTAAACAGTAATCTTATTATATAAACTGGTAGGTAAGTATGGTGGTTTCAATACCCACATATAACTGCAATCTCTCTTAAACTTACACTTGAGGCACATATACAGGATTTTAAAATTTAAAGCATAAACTTACAATGATTAAAAAAATATGATTGTGTCCCCAACTGAACAGTAAAAAGTCCACCCCAAAATCATATGTACCAGACATTTCTTGGTTGATTTTTTTTTAACATCCAGGCATCATTTGTATTTTGTTTTATATGCCAATGGGGAGCCACCACAACAGTATTTTTGAAGGGAAAATCAGATGCATGTGTGGGAATGGACTTAGTAAATCTGAGAAAGGCAAATCCAAAATGAACACTGGAAAAGGGAGGGAGGAGCATCAACAGGATTTATAGCACACACTCCTCAAAATTGGTGACATCAAGGATGCAGAGGATAGTGAGGACAGAGGTACTAAGCTAAAGGGGACTGACTGAAAATGAAAGAGGATTCAGATCCCTGGGTTCCTCCTTTGCATCCCACACTGTTGGGAAGTGGCCTTATTACCACCACAGCAGGAGTGTGAACACTTGTTCACTGAAGATGACAAATGAATCTGAACTGGAGGGAGCCAGATTGGAGCAGTGTGACTCAAGAGGCACATATGTTATTATCATTTTGAACTAAAAATGGCTGGGTGAACCTGGCACAGTGTCTATCTGTACTTGGCTTCTTTGAATCACATACAGATGAAGTTTGAATATATTCCCTTCCTCCTTGGGTTAGCTAAGGGCACACATCCTCTCCCTCCCCAATATGTTCTGATAGAACCTATTCCTGACAGCTGGAGGTTGGTCAAGGTGAGAGAGAAATTCTGTAGAAGATATAAACCATATTGCTGCCTGATGTTCAGTACCTGGCTTACATATTGCCCTACCAGGAATTCCAACTGTGGCGAGTCTGATATTTTTTAGGATTCTCTCAGGCCCTGGCCTCCTGACTCCCCTAAAGGATTCTGATAAACTCTCAGTTAAGATACAGCCGGCTATTACCCAAAATCAATATTTCTTTTTATAATTCTTATGTAAATTATTCTTCTCTGCTTAACATTATAATGCGAGATGTATCCATGTTGGAATGTTTAGCTCTGCTTCATTTATTTTCTCAGTCATATAATATTGTAGTTCTACTATAATTTACTAATCTTTTCTTTTGTTGGTTGCACTTACAGTTTTTTTTTTACTTTGTTATTCTGAACAATGCTTCAGGTCTCCCTGCGAACCTGTAATCTTTACCAATTTTTGTTTTTATCAGCAATGTGTAAAGGTTTCTGATGTTCTACAGTCTCACCAATTACTGATTTTGCCAGATTTATGAAACTTTGCTAAGTGTGTAAAACATATATCTCCATTATGATTTTCATTTCCATTTCCATGTGACTAGTGAGACTGAACATTTTTTAATTTTCACTGGCCATTCAGATTTCCTATTCTATGCCTTGTCTGTTAATATGTTCTTTTACATTTTAATTTTTAAATTAAAGTGTTATAGACACAGTGCACAAATCTCACTGGTACAGCTCAATAAATGTTTACAAATGAATGTAACTGTATAGATATGTGTCCTTTGATATATTTTAAAATGTAGTTGAATTAATGAACATTTCCCTGTGATCTTGTGTTTTGCTTGGGAAATCCTTCCCTATCCCAATGTCATAAACATACTCTCTATTGCTTTCCTTCCAAATATTTTAAAGTTTTGGTTTTTCACATTTCATCAACCTGAAATTGTTTTGTGTGCATGTGGATATAGTTTGAAGTAGTTTTAGTCACTTTCTTGCCACTGGATGAACTACCCTACTCCCACAATTTAAAGGAAGAGAGGTTTGTTTGGGCTCATAGTTTCAGCCCATGGTCGGTTGATTCCAAGACAGAAACAGGATAGCACAGGAGCGTGGTGGACAAAAAACTGCTCAACCCATGTCAGCCAGGAAGCAGAAAATAAAGGCAAGAGCAAGGGATAAGATGTTACCCACCTCCTAACAGCACACTGAGCTACCGAACTCATCCATAGATGAGTCCATTGATGAGTATAGCACCCCCATGGTCCCATCACCATCCTCACACTTGAGAATTGGGGGGGATATTTTAGATCTCAACCATAACTGTAGTGATAAAAGTTTCTTTACTATACGGATGAGCATTTACTCCTAAGCTATTTACTAGACATTATTACCCTCGACTCTGCCCAAGCACAGCTTTCATTCATCAAGATTGTTTCTTTCATACAAAACTCTAACTTCTGGGAACATCATTGTGTTCTGTGGATCTTTTTGTCTAGATTTGCATTGTAGTGGAGAAAAGGTACTATTTTTTTCCTCTCTCCTCACAGGGTTCATGGCGGAGTTGCCTATAAAAACAGACAAATTAACAACAAAAAAAGCAAACAAGTTCATTTAATGTAAATTTTACAAGACACAGGAACTTTTGGAAATGAAGGCCCAAAGAAAGAGAAGCATGTATATTTTTATACTTAGGACTGATGAAAGATGGATAGTACTGCAGAAATATGATGAACAAAATGAGGCTGATTGTATGGTAATAAACTAGGGGAAACTTATTAAACCTATTTGACTAGATTCTTCTCGGCATCTCTGTGTCTTCAAGGATAAGGATGTTCCTTGCGTCTTGGTATAGGGAGAGCACCTCTGGAATGAAGGTTTTATGATATGTTTCAGAGGTGAATGGGAAAGTGAGAGTGACCTTCCTGCTCCTATTGTTTTCTCTAATGCCTACATTTTGAGGCAGCATGAAACCTATCAGCACTAATACCCACAGCCTTAATTAATGTAGCCTTATTATAAAATTTTATATTGGTTCAGACAAAAGATTATTCCATATTTTGTGCCATAAGCACAAAGTGCCCCTGTTGGGCACTGAAGCATGAAAATATTCAAATAGTTCCACAAAGAGAGGTTGGTAAAGGAGAAAATGCACTGAGTTTTTGGTCACAGGAACAGGATCCTGTCCTGCCTTATCCGGTTATGTGACATCAGGCAGAGGACTCTTTTGACTGGACCTCAGTTTTTTACTCTTTAAATATGTAAACCTGAGTGGCTTTGTAATTTATAAAATCTGTCAGTTTATTAAATCTCAA